GGGCTGGGGGAAATGAAATAGGGGGTTAAATAATGCATTTAATCATGTGGAGAGAGACATGGATAAAAATAATTGGATATTACTCCCAGGTAGATACTTGCTATAATGTCACAGGTAACAGCAACTTTTACCTGTACGTGACCTTAAACAGTGACATTAAAGGCCACGCCCAAATACATTTAATCATGTGAAGAGAGACACGGATGATTTTTTTTTTATTGGAACTATTATACATTGGGGGTAACAAAAATACCAATGACAGCAACTTTATCCTGTACATAAGCCCAGACAGCAGCCCCAAGGGACCCACAGGGTCTTATATAGTAGCAACATGATAAAATCAAGCAAAGAGAGACATGAGTGAAACCAACTAGGAATTACTACTTGTGCATTGTAGAATGCTGAAACACCGAGGACAGCAATTTTTTCATGTACGTGACCCTAAACAGTGACATTAAAGGCCACGCCCAAATACATTTAATCATGTAAAGAGAGACACGGATGAATTTTTTTTATAGGAACTGTTATACATTGGGGGTAACAAAAATACCAATGACAGCAAATTTATCCTGTACATAAGCCCAGACAGCAGCCCCAAGGGACCCATGGTGGTCTTATATAGTAGCAACATGATAAAATCATGCAAAGAGAGACATGAATGAAACCAACTAGGAATTACTACTTGTACATTGTAGAATGCTGAAACACCGATGACAGCAATTTTTTCATGTACGTGACCCTAAACAGTGACATTAAAGGCCACGCACAAATGTACATTAATCATGTGAAGAGAGACACAGGTGGTTTTTTTTATTGGCACTATTATACATTGGAGGTAACATAAGTACCAATGACAGCAACTTTATCCTGTACATAAGCCCAGACAGCAGCCATAGGTTCCCAAATGGACTTATTATTTATAGTATGATGGTCGAATCTAATAATGATTAGAGATAGTAGAATGCAACTGAAACACCTGATTATGACACAGACAGTGGTTCTGGAGATCAACTTCAGAATAAAACAGGAATTTAGTGAAGGATGGGACCACTTACACTGGAACTTTGGAAAGATATCTATTTGACAGCAACTATTTACTACTTCAGCTATAGATTTCCGTTTGATAATAACATTTTGTTAAACACTGACTTCAGATGAAATACAACAATACCATAATACAAACTCAGTAACAAATATTTATT